GGTTTTAAATTTTAAAATTTGGTTTTTTGGGGGTTTTTTGGTCTTTTTTTTTTTTAAAATGGGGGGGAAGGGGGCCGGGGGGAGAAAATTCCCGGGTTTTCCATTTTAGATATTATTATTAAATTTAAAAAATTTTTTTGGGTAACATATTAAAAGGGTATTCAAAGAGTTTAGTGATCTTGACCTGAACGATAGAAGTTTCCAAAAGGTCAATGCTGTTGACGTTCATATTTCATTTCTAAAAAAGGTTCTGTTTTGATTTCAGAAAAGAACAACATATATCATAAACTCTGTTAGCATTTTTCTACTTAAATATGGATTTGCTTTAACTTTTAAATGTTTACACCATATACTTATTTACTCATGGTTGCTAGTCAGTCAATATTTATGACATTTTTTTTAATAAAATCAAAGTAAACTGCAATTTGTTTTGTGAATGTAAAAAGAAATATTTCTATTTCAGCGAGTTAAAATTTCACCACGGGCCTGCCGACAAATATTTCCAGTAAGTAACAATCACATTTTCTTTCAAACTAAGTAGAATCGATTAGAAAATAATAGATATGTATACTGTTTATTCGTACATATATATTATGTCAAGTGATTGATTCCAGCTTTAAATGAAAGTTCATGTAGCTTTTTTAGTGTGATTGTAAAAACTAGGTGTGGCGGTGACCATTTTATCGTTCTATTGTTCAGAAAAAGTTGGGGGTTTTTTTATTTAAATATATTTTGTACATGTAAATTGTAAACCTTAAAGGGAGACACAGGCAAAATTTTCATTTCTTAGTTTTGAATTTTTTCATTCCTAGTTCTGTAAATGCACTTAAAATGAATACATTAGACAGTCAAAGGAATTAAACTTTCCTCCATATAAAGAATTAAATGGTGGTTTCCTAACCTGACCCGCGTGGGTCAGGTTAGAGCGCTAGGACGTCACAAAAGTTGTCACAGTGAACTCTGGAAATGTTAAAGAACATGTCAAATGAATGATTTAGACTTGTTTCAGTCATACAATATCCACAATATCTGTTAATGTAACTTCAAGGATTTGTTCAAGTCACATGACTTGTTTTAGAACTATTTAGTGATTCTATCTGCGTCTAAATTTTGTTCAACATATACAGATATATTAATAATATATAGAATTTTAATAGAAATTCATGCTGAAACTTTTCGAAATGTCATTTTAGCGCGAGTTGAGTACAAAAGATTATTTTAACAGTTGTGTCATTATTTTGCCTGAATATCCCTTTAAGGCCTTTTTGACAAGTCTTTGTAAATTTGTACCCAAACAATCATTATATGCACTAATTCTTATGCCTTAACATTTAATTTCGTTAATTTCCTTTGAGTTTATTTCAATATCTTTCGTTTATTGTGCGAACAATATGTATTTCTTCCCTTTTCAGAAACAATATTAAAATGCATATAAATAACAATCTGGTTTGAATAGAAAGCTTTAAGCTAAATATGAAACTCTCTTATTGGTTTTCTATTTCCTTTAACATCATCAGGAATTCTGACACATATACTATGAATGTATATATCAAATTAATCAATATATGAACTGAAACAATTATTTGAAATAAACGGTCTGGAGCATTTCTCGTCGTTATACGTTAAGACTTAGAGATTTACTTGCGTCTTTCAGCTAAATGTAGTGTTATTATATTTGATCTTTGCATACAAAGAATAAAATCTAAATTTAAACTAAACTCGTTTAACGTTATTGATATTTACGTCATTTTGCACACACGCAGAAATATTCTGGCAAAACTAAGTGAGTAAAGGATCTGATTGTTTTGTGAATTTATTGGTCTAGACCTCCATCCAATGATATGAAAACCCAGTCCCGTTATAGTGAAGTACTCTTGAGAAAGGTCTTACTTGTGACACCGAATCAAGAGTTACTTGTAACAGAGAAGCGAATGAAACACTATCCTTACTTTGTCTTTGTAATTTTATAGGTATATTTATATGTCTAATCTTTTAAATGCTATATTTTGCAGTGAGGATTTCCTACAGAAAAGTGAACACATTGGAGAAGGCGGTTATGTTGTCTGGTATATAGCGTTATTGCCTGCTAGCAACATGGGTGGCTATCTATTTCCTTACATTTAGAGGGACATTACTAATGGCAAAGGTATAATAACCTGCACTGATTGTCAGTATATTTGTGGTTGCTAACAGTTTGCTCAGTTTACGAAATCAGTTTCGGTGCATGACCTTCTGTCGAATGACATTTTGTCGAATACGACAGTTTGTCGATCAAGACATTTTGTTGAATACGACAGTTTGTCGTCGATCAACGACAGTTTGTCGATCAAGACATTTTGTTGAATACGACAGTTTGTCGATCAAGACATTTTGTCGAATACGACAGTTTGTCGATCAAGACATTTTGTCGAATACGACACTTTGTCGATCAAGACATTTTGTCGAATACAACAGTTTGTCGATTAAGACATTTTGTCGAATAAGATAAGACACTTAGTGGAATACGACAGTTCGTAGATCGAAATAAGTTTTAATACTACACTTTTAATCGAAAACTGCTATCCCTTAATCAATAGATTTATTTCAGTCTTATTCTTTTTTTCTTATTTTGAAAAGCATTACGGAAAAGCCTGCGAGTCCAGGCGTTTTAGTTGTTTCTTATCCTATGTCAGCAATTACAGTTATTGCATTTTTAAATATTTATAGTTTATTGCTAATTTCAGCTTTAGTACAGTTTCGTGTGAAACTATTGATTTTTAATCAAGGACATTTGTATCTCATTTGCGGCTAAATGAATTTATTACAGATTGCCTATATACTGACGCCTACAACCATTTTCACATTGTTGATTGTTATGATTTACGGATATGCTGCAGTACCAAACGCTTCTACAGCCGCAAGCCGACTTCTGTCCAGTCGTGGTGAAAAATTAGAATACACGCCTTCCCAGTACTTCTTTCTAAATAATGAAGTCAACTACAAGCTCGGGCATCCTGGTGTAAGTTTTTTTTAAAGTTATTATACCATTTTGTCAGACATAATCGAGAAAAGAATAAAAAAAATGATTTTGGCGTTAAATAAATGGAAAATATGCTGAATTTGTATGTGGCGCCGTTATATGTAGCACTATTGCCGCTAAATGCCGGACCATTGCCGCTTAATGTCGCAACCGCCGCTTAATGCCGCAAAATCTTCTACAATGTCGCAATGGTAACATAAGCTGTATATTCATGATAAAATAATGTTAGCTTCTAGTATTAAGTTACATTAATACCTATGTTACTATAGAATTATATTATTATAACAAACGTTAGGGTATTGTAAGGTCATTATGGCAAGATTTAGGTGATTATTCAATTTTGGCAACTCGGCAATTTTTTTTGGCAAAATGAGGAAATCAGCTCTCATTGACTTTCAAGACAGCTGCTGTCGTTCGGACAATGCTCTAGGGCTATTAGTACACCTCTAGATAGATCTTAAGAAACTATTAGGCAATTTGCAACAAAGGAAGAACTAGCACCGTCAAAAAGACAGGGACAACATCGGGGCAATTGCCGATTAGAGCTAGATTTGTGACTTTAAATATTGATAACTTTCCGTTTCTTAGAAAGAAAGGGTGACAGCTAAGATTAGCGGCGATGTCCAATCGCCGTATTTCAGGGATAGGTATTAAAGACTTTAATACTTGGTTGCTGCACGCGATAATGACCCTCGATTCCATAATGTCCTTTGGGCCTACGGCCCTCAGGTCATTATGTACATCTTCAGGCCTTTTACGCATAAGAACGAGCAGAAACCAAATATTAACCTCTAAATAACATTGAAAAATGTTTGTATATATCTGATTACTGTAGAACATAAAGTAATATGTCGACACAACATGAACAATGCTTTTAAAAGTGGATTGATTTATTGATGGGCAAGTTATCAAGAAAAAATTCAAATATTGATAAAAAGAAAAGAAACGTGATAATGCATATATTTTAAGTAATATTGCTTTGCGTGCTAATGCAAAACAACAGCTACAGAATAGTGTCTATGTACTTGTCCCTCACCTCCTGTTCGTTCGAATCCCGCCAGGGACCGGATTCTTTCGTGTGAGGAAACTTTCCAGCCAGCTTACGGAACGTCGATAGTTCTACTCAGGTTTGTGTACGGAGGTGTACCAGAGGAGTTCCTTAACTCCCCGTTAAAGCTAGAAAATTACTATATGAGACAGGGTATGACGTTTTACATTAAAAAATTATTAGGATTCAGCCTGTACGGATGCTCAGTCTGGCTAACATGTATCTCTATTCTTGTAAATTCATTTTGGTTCCAACAGTGTAAAGGTAAATTTGTACCAATGTGTTTTATCACCAAGGAGCTCAATTTATAACGGTAATAGTGCGACATAAAGTAATTGTTAACGTATACACGAATATACTGTTTATATTTTTGTAATTTTGATTTGGAAAACAAAAGTATCATGTGTAAATATGTTTATATTCTATAACAGCCATGGATAGATGCACTAAAGTTACACATCAACAGCATTGGATTATGGTCGGGAGTTCTCCCAACGCTTGGCACCCTCGTCTTTAATAGGAAATATGTAGTCAATGCGTAAGTTTACTTTTCGAAATCAACGGAAACCCTTTGTTGAACGTTAAGTATTTTGCTATTAAATGTTAACCATTATGATTTCTTGATTTGAGCAATCAAGAATGCTGCTTTTTGAATTAATATGCTTTCGGCGTTTTTAAGGTACGTATTATTCAGTCTAAGTCATTATATTTATTATTCGTAGTTTATGCTAGAGTATATTTATGTACAAGTACATGTAAACAAGTTTCATTATAGATTAAACGTAGGCACCATTTTTTTTTGTGATGTGTGCAGTATACACAGAAAACTTGAAAATCAAGTATGTTTTGAAAGAAACATACCAGCTATTCATTTGTGTCCCCACTGTACTGAATAGTCCTCACTTTACCGTACAGTCCTCGATATACTGTAGAGGTCTCACAGTACTGGACAATCCTCACAATACTGGATAGTCCTCAAAATACTGGATAGTCCTCATTATACTGTACATTCCTCAAAATACTGGATAGTCCTAACAATACTGGATAGTCCTCATTATACTGTACAGTCCTCACAATACTGTCCTAACAATAATAGTCCTCACAATACTGGATAGTCCTCAAAATACTGGATAGTCCTCATTATACTGTACATTCCTCAAAATACTGTACAGTCCTCACAATACTGGATAGTCCTCAAAATACTGGATAGTCCTCATTATACTGTACATTCCTCAAAATATTGGATAGTCCTCAAAATACTGGATAGTACTCCCAATACTGTACATTCCTCAAAATACTGTACAGTCCTCACAATACTGGATAGTCCTCACAATACTGGTTTGTCCTCAAAATACTGGATAGTCCTCAAAATACTGTACAGTCCTCACAATACTGGATAGTCCTCAAAATATTGGATAGTACTCACAATACTGGATAGTCCTCAAAATACTGGATAGTCCTCATTATACTATACAGTCCTCATTTTACTGTACAGTCCTTACTTTACTGGATTGTCCTTACAATACTGAATAGTCCTTACAATACTGGATAGTCCTCAGAATACTGTACAGTCCTTACTTTACTGGATAGTCCTTACAATACTGGAACAATGTACTAGTACATAAAGATATAACGGTGTAGGATTTATCATAAGAATCAATTACTTATGACCTGTAATATGAGTATAATAAAATCTTAGTTAGAACTATTAAACATTTATGCTCGATGTAAAATTTCCTTTTATAAAATTCAATATATCTTCTATCAATTTTTGCATAGTCATATCTGTGAAAAGAATTACTTATTCCCTGCGAATGAGTTTTTTTATTAAGTCTGTCTACATGACATGACCATAGGCAGTTTATATCAATCCATCCCTTCAATAGATATCTCATATTGCAGACGACATCAAGACATATAAATGCTTTATTACTTCTGCTTCACGATAACATATTTTAGTCATGCAGTAAGAAAGTTTATCTTACAAAGCGTTGTTTCATTTATCTATCAAAATTTGCTTTAAAAAAGGCAAAATTACAGCAACTGCCTTTTTAATTTTGATATGTAATAACACCATTCGAAAACAAAAAAAAACAACCTCATTTGCATTATTTATGGACCTTTTTTTCTATTTTTGCTCTGTTGACAATTGTTATAATTATAGTGGAATAGTATTTTGCATTGAGGTAAAAATACTACTTTGTTTACATTTTGCTAGCTTTGCAACACATTTTTACACTTTCATCCCTTCTTTCTTAGTTAATTGACATCTAAAATGATCTTAATCCATTATCAAAACATTATTAATATAATAAATGTTAAATTAAAAATATAGATTTCTGAGGCATAATATGACTTTAAATAAATAGAATAAGTTGAACCATTGTAAAATTATGCCATTTCCCCCACTTCATGAGCCATTACATAATTTGTATGCAAAAGAAATTAGTATCAAATGCATTATTGAATTGATGGAATAAATGCAAAATGTCAAAGCAATAATTCTTACGCTTGTTATTGAATTGAGGCAATAAACGTTTTCAGCAAATGACACAAACTGAATTAATCTAATCTAGTTTTATCATTATGTAATAAAATTTGACATTAAAAGGTATCTTATGTCAACCATTTCAGACATTTTAGATCAATAAAAAAGTTTTTAGTATTTCAAAAGGATTTAACTTCGTAGATTTTTCATTGCATGAGCCTAAGACATTTTCATTGTGAGAAATGCTCGTGGGCGACAATACATCTTCTTATAACCTTGGAAATGGATTCAAATGTGACAATCTAGTAAATCTAGTAAGTTATTGCGGAGTTTGAATACCAGACAATAGCGTCACTGGTGCATCCTTATTAGATTAAACTTTAAGTATAAAAATCTAAATTTTATTTTTATGCCGTCTGGGTTAACTTCTATAATAGATGTTTTATTTAAAATAAAAAATCATAGACTTTATCTCTGTTGGGCTTGTGTGTTACAATACGTGATAATGAAACACGTCTTAAAGTTTTATAATAATAAAGTAAGATATATAATATCATAGTTTTTACAGCAACATTTGGTTTCTATTTGATGTCTCAAAGTCATCACGATCGGACTGATCTTCTTAATTCAAAATTTCACCATTTTCATGTTCAAAAAATGTGGAATTCTGCTTACGCCGGTGCTGGGGGGGCGTGGACGGTAGTTTGCACTTGCCAGTACCGTCCATGAACAGGCTCAAACCGAACCTGCAACATTTTAAATTTTGCCGTTTTGACTTTAATTAGGGATTCCCATTTTCTCTGTTTTCACATCTGAATATTTTTACTTCTTCATTAATCGCGTAAAGAAGACTCCTCTTGAATCTGACAGCTCAGGTGTAATCTTTCGATGAATTGTGAATTACGTTTTGTCTCGAAAGTCGATAATTCCATGGCTTTAATGCACGTTTGTTATATATAAATCTTAGAATAAGTGCTCAAAATGTGTCTGGTACAGAGCACTGTAAGAGCTGTCCTGAATAAAATATATGAGGAAAATAATTATATTTCTTAAATATGAAATTTTCATGAAGCGAAACAAATTATCGAAAGGGATTACAAATTTACTACAAATTTTATTTGTAAACGAAGTTTTATGATGATGAAGATTTAATAGTTGTGGTGTTATATTTTTGCAGCTATAAGGTTTATAGAATGTTATTGTTTAAAATAACTACTTTTACCTTTTGTTTGTAATATGTTTCAAGCTCTGAGAATTTCTGTTTAGAAATTAAAACTCGGTTATATCTATCGCCTCATGTTTGAGAACACATGTGTGCCATTATTTTAATAATGGCGAAGATATATTCTGGACTCGATTTTGACCGCAATAAAAGACATTCTAACAAAAATGGACGTATGAGTAACTTATTATGCACCTTTCGTCAACAGAGGGGCATGATCCCTTATTCTGCTAATTAAATATGGAATTAATCTATGGTAAGTACACTACTATATGGCCTACCAAATCTAATCTATTTCTTAGGACAGACGAATAAGGCAAGTATTTGATGACCTCCATCCTGGGCATTAGAACTCTTATGTTTGCGAATCATTTCAAGACAAGTATTTTACGCTATGTAAAACATGTGGAGAAAGAGTGATCCCTCGGAAGTATTAAACACAAAATTACATGAAAATTGCTGACTCGGTTTTATTTAGTCTGTCCTTGATTGAAAAGGAAAACGTGCAACATCCTGCACGCCCCCTAGCACCGGTTTATGCGGTACTAAATTTTTAAAGTTTACATTGATGTATAAATAAAATATTTTTCCATACTTATCTGTCAAAATATACTTTTATATTTTTAGGTCATGGATACTGCTTCTTCTGGTATACAGTGTGTTGCCACAGATTGCTCTGTTTGCGTTGGCCCCATATATTGACCCAAGCGATAGCGGAGGCTTCATAGCGTCGTCAAAAGGCATAAAACCAGGTACAAAAATCTGGAGAAAGAGTGATCCCTCGGATGCATTAATCACAAAAAAATTACATAAAAATTGCAGACTCAGTTTGATTTAGTCTGTACAATAGTAAAAAACATCTCTTACGCCCCTTAGCACCGGCTTGAGCGGTACTCAATTCTCAATACTTAATAGTGCTGGCATCACCGTCTGCAAGACAAACGCCGTTCCATATGTCTTTGAGTGTTATTAAGAAGTTCATTTATTAAATATTCAAAACAGTTCATAGAAACTTTGTACTTATCAAATTCGATTAATTTTGAGTCTTGAAAGATTTACTCATAATTTTTATTCTCTACTAAATTGCTGTATGGTAGGTAATACACGACAAAGGATCTACTGAATAAAAGATATAATAATTTCCAAAACTTTTCTCGTCTGTAAGGTATTGTACAAAGATTAAAATATCATTTTTTTACTCTTCTCAGTAATCACTCTGACTGTGTAGGCGACATTGATTTTCCTGACTTATATATAAATATCTCTATAAATTCTTTAACCAGACATATTGAGAAAACTACAAACCTGTGCCAGCTGGCGGGGGGCAATTAAATATACCCATGCGACCAGTGCAGACTATGATCAGCTGGCACATCAATTTTGGTCTACATTAATTGCTATTCGTTCAATTCATATTGTAAAAAAATCCCTAAAAATGATGAATGGGATAGATTAAGAATCTAGAATTGTCTAGATTTAAAGACGGACAAGTTCATTAAGAAATTTAGATTGGTATACAATAGCAAACCAGATCATATATTCTTGCATATCAGACTGGCGTTTCCATTAGTTTTACCCATACCGAGAATTTCATCTGGCATGGTTGGTGCCAGATAAGTCGCCTGCTATACAATTGCATGGGATAGTGCTTATGATCACGTAATTTTGTCGTTATGAATGAAGTTGTAATGGCAGGTACCATCGGGACGGATATACCGATCTGAACCAAAACATATGATAGATATTATGATTACTTACATTTCAGGCTTGCCGTTCTTGTTTATTGCGATACCAACAACATTTGAACGAATGCAGTTGTCTCCCGTGATTGGATTCTTTCTCTTTATTTGCATATTTTTGTTTGGACTTCATCACCAGGTAAAACACTTATGTCAAAAGTCCCAAACACTTTTAAATACTATGCTCTAGTTGTATATTAGAAAATATTGATAATTGCTACACAGTCTCTTTATAAATCATCCTTGCTCGTTACGTAGAGATGAATTTAGTTCATCAAAATCAGTACCCGTGGGGTTCCGACGATGTTTATAAATATAAAATAAACATGTTTTGACTTCACACAAAGTAGATATGTTATGTTTTAAACTCTACACACTGTAAGTTGTCAGAATATATAGTGTCATTAAAAAACTGGCAGTTTTTTTAAAGAAAATACCAACTTTACTTGACCTCTAATAGGGAACGCAGCTTCCTATACATAATTTATTCATTCCTTTATTCAAATAAGACATATTCAGATTTCAATAAATCTGTGGTTAAAATATTTTACTGAAGGATGATACAAAAGCATATCTTAAGATTAAATTATTATGTATTGCTTATCTTTAAAGAGACATCCAAGGGTAAGTAGTGGGCAAACATGCAAAGTCAAATGAAGTTAACATTTTGCCATAATTTTTTTATATATTATACAGTAAACACTCCAATCACCAGAAAGTGACAATGAAAAAATGAGAATAATGTCACTATAATCGATTCTATTAGCGTTGAATACTTCAATGGCCATTTAAACTTTCCTCAGGGAACCTTTCTTCTGAACTGCCCATTGTCTGCGCATATTAATTGTCGTAATGGTCTTTTTAACACGGCTGTATAATAGAAAACATTGATCTCTTGCCTTGAATAATAACAACATTATCATATGAGAATTGCATCTCTTATTTGATTGAACCTGTTTACGAGAAAGCTGAAAAGTTCAATACTAATTTAACCGGCTTAAGTAATATTCGATGGTCAACACTAAAAGTATAAGATAGACAACATTACTTTTTACATGTGTTTGTCTTTGTAAAAAGAAAATATAAGGCTCTAAATATTAATATTAAAAGAGATTTCACTGATTTTTTTTTTGGTCAAGAGGGGACTAGAACTATATTTTCGAGGTTTATGCACCATTTGATGTAGGGCTAGACTTATTACTTGTGTGCAGAATTTAGGTCACCCTCTCTTTCCGTTGTCCCATAATAATCATTTCAATTGAGCAACGTTTCACAAAAATGAAAAGCGTTGGAAACGCTTATCACTCGAACTGGGCAAAAATTGTATTAAAACGATTTCAATTTAAACTCTGTGTATATTTCTTTATTATTTTATGCAGACTTTTCCATTTTAAATGCATCTATAAATATCACTTCATCTACGTAAGCATTTAAATTTTTATATTTTATATCTTATAAGGAGTTTCTTTAATAATAATAATTACTAGTAATAAATATTTTTAAGATAGGTATTTTCTTTATTCATGACCTTTTTCCTATTTCAGGCTATTCACTTGATTGCGATATGGGAGAATCTACTTCCTTCAACTCCAAAGTTTATCATGTCTTATTTCCGCAGACGAGAAATTCTCGTGGCTGCCGCGTGCGGTGTGTCATTTCTTTTGTCTATCTTGTACGCGATACAAGTAAGTGACATTTTGCTGGTTAGAAGATATGATATTTGAAACTTAAAGGAAAGAATGAAAGATGGCGCTTTTATAAGAAAGACCGGTGGGGAGATTTCAACTTCATGAATTCCCGATTTCATCGTCGTGAATTCACACTATCAAAGTCGTGAATTCACATTTTCAACATACGGATTTCACAAATTAACGATTTCAACTTCATGATTCACGATTTCAACTTCACGAATACAACACAACTTCGCTCATTCACGGTATGAATTTCACGATTTCAGCTGCTTCATGAATTCACGATTTCAACTTGACAATCTCGAGAATTCAAGAAGTTGAAATGTCATCATCGGTCTTACGTAATTTTATATTAAGGTCGGTGCTCGCTCGATACGCTTGTATCTTCAATAATGCTTCGAAAGTAGAAAAGTAAATGTTTTAATTATTAATTAAGTAAGTGTAAATAGGACCGAAAGAAGGTCCATTATGCCACAGAAATACTTTGATTCTTATTTCTTAAACGCTCCTTTTTGTAGTATCCGCTTATTGTTTTCACAAGTTTGCTAATTGGCAAATTACCTGAACCATCTTTTTGCCTCTGTTGCTTTTTTTACAATTAGTACAGTCAGTATAATAGTGAATTACTGTTTTATGGAAGTCAAAAGACTAATTCGTGTACATTTCGCTACTTTTATGACAAATATTTTCACAATCAGCGCGGTTTCTTCAGCACTTCTTTCAACGGATGATAAGCATCTGGCATGCTCTAAACGTATAACATAAACGTTATAGAACTAGTGGTTACTTTTTCGTTAAAAGGCAAACATGTATTCCTTTCTTTGGCATATTTGCCTTAACAACAGGATAATTATATCCTTTGATTATTGCATTGTAACTTAGTTTTTGTTTTTAGTGAGTGGAATTGTTAATGACAGAAGTACGAACATAACACCGGTATTTATCCTGATTATTGAATGGGTCAAATGATACACAAAATATCAAAAATATAAGTCACTGATTCCTCAGAAATACTATCATTCTTATTTCTCAAAAACTTTTTTTATAATTGTTATCTTGTTAAAGTTCCCGAAAGGTTTTTCATTAGCCATATAGTTGGACTATCTTACTCCTTTTGCCTTGTTGGCAACTGATATAGTTATAACGAATAAGTTATTGTGTTTAGAAGTCAAAATACAACTTTGTTTACATTTGACAACATTAATGACACATTTCTTCACATGCAGCGCTACTTTCTTCGGCTGTTCAACATTTAATATGCTTTAAATGCAATCATTATAACATATTATATACATTCTTGACATTTCTAAAATAAATTTGATAAATATGGACTTATGAAGTAAATAAAAAAAAAGTTTTCATAAATAAAAAAAAATACATATGGATAATTCCACAGATATCTGCATTTGTAGCAATTGAATACCATTTTATCATGATACTCATGCTTTACATTATATATTATATGAGCCGCGTCATGACGAAACCAACATAATGGGTTTGCGACCAGCATGGATCCAGACCAGCCTGTGCATCCGCGCAGTCTGATCAGGATCCATGCTGTTCGCTATTATTTTCACTACTTGTAAAAGGGTTGGTAAGCGAACAGCATGGATCCTGATCAGACTGCGCGGATGCGCAGGCTGGTCTGGATCCATGCTGGTCGCAAACGCACTATGTTGGTTTTGTCGTGACGCGGCTCATATAATATATGCTTCTTTTAAATTACAGGGTGGCATCTATTTATATGCCATTGTTAATGACTACGTAGATCGATTGATCTTCACGGTAATCATTATTTCATCGGTGCCATTTATCGTTGGATACAGTGAGTACAAATCTATATTTTCTATTCTTATTTCTTTTTCCGGTATATTGTTATCTTGCTTCTTTGAAAGATAATGTGTGTAGATGTATTTCAATTTTAACGAATAACTTATGTTCTATAGTGAATTTGTTGCTTGTTTTTTATATATATGCAACAGCAGTTTAGTTAAACATTGATGAAAACAAGAAAGGATGTTCCCTTTGTTATGCAAGCATAATTATATTTCAATGTTTTTTTACAAAATAGATGTGGGGACATTTTAGCTGCTATGAATTTAACGAATAAGCTTATGTCAACTTTTCGAATTCATGATTCTAGTTCTTTATTTAAATTTATAAAATCAAAATCATGAATTCATGAAGTAAAATAAATTTATTCAATACATGTATACATATTAACGTATTAAAATCACGAATTTATGAAGACAAAACCGTTTTGTTAAAGATATATGCTATACATGTATATAAAAGTAACTATGATTTAAATTTTATGTTTTGTTTTCTAGTAAAACAGGAAGTTCTGTACATCCCAATTGAGAGAGCTTTTATGAGCCTTTGGTACGGCCTTGCTACTCTTATTTCATCAGTAAGTATCAAATGCCACGACGCTAGGCGTATCGTAAATAAATTTTATTTGGAAGGTGTGCATTGTCCGTCCAGTTTGCTGTCCGACTGTCTGATCGTACACTGACAAATTAGTGGTATGCGGGAGAAAACTTGTCCTATGGCCATTTAAATATTTTATTTGCTATAATATTTGGTTCTCTTAAAACAGTAAATAATAAAACTATAAAAATAGTCTATATAAAAACATGTAAATTATCAAACCTTCAATGCTGAAATATATATTTGTTAAGACTTTCTATTTGATAATTTCATATGAATACAGCATAAAAAGATTGTATCAATATTTCAGGTTTTATTGGTTTTCTACTTTGCTGTATATGTTTACCCACGCCCAGTTGTGGGCGTTGAACAGAGATGGGCGGAGTCATTAGGCTGGGTAATTGCTGTTGCGCCAATAACACTCTGTCTCATTCTCGGTGCTGCCCATGCTGTCAACAAACAGAAAGGCACAATGAGACAGGTATGTCAATTCATTCGACATTTAGTTTTATTTGTAATGACATTCAAATGAGGTTTTCAAATCTTTTCAGTATTTTCTAAACCAAATTACATTATATCATAATAACATAATTTGGACTTCTCATTGTATTTTTCTTCCAGCGATTCATTAAGTCGCTGCGGTCAGAATCGTTTAATGCTGCCGAGTCCAGTAATGAGTACACTTCCGCTGAAACTGGCGACACAATGTTGCAAAATACACACGCAGCGGAGGAACCAGTCCAGGGGAAATCGGAAGAGGAACCAGCATTTGAAAAAACGGAAACGGAAGTGTTTATTCAACCAACAGAAGAAGTTGATCCAGTTAACGTTTGAACCCTTATCTTGCTGTCTTTGGGTATTGAACTTCACTGTTTTGGATTTGGAACAAAGTTTAATGATATTCATTATCAAAGTACCTTTATTTTGCTGTCAACAAAATAGAGCCTGTTAATGAGTTAGTACTGGAGGCAACGGCTTATAATTTTCAGTTCCAGCACGGTGTGGATTGATGCATGAGAAATTTAAGAACATAATTATGTATTAAATGGTTTTGTGTGTAAAATTCTGTTTCGACAGATGTGAAATTGATTAAGATTTATCTAAAAACAAATCTGTGTATATTAATCATTAGCCATGGAAGCTGTTCCAAGTTAAGCCGAGGGTGATGCTGATGTGTAAAAATATTCATTACGTGTTTTCATGTTGTTATTTTATTAACCTGACAGAATAAGTTGTTTGTTTTATTTTAGCTCATAACAATTATTGAAATGTTTGCTAAAGATTTCAGAAAAGTTTAGTTGTACATTGTATATGTATTATGATATAAATTATCATTTGTACGTTTGGGTATTATGTTTCTTGTTAAATTGATAATCTTTGTTGATTTATAAATCAGTTCATGTTTCTTTCTTGATCGACTAGTGCATGTGACAGCGTTAGCCTGGTCCGCCCGCTAAGTTTAATAAGGAGAGCGCCGGATTTTGTTATCATGGGGATACTAGTTCGATCCACAGCCGGGCTGTTTGTGTGACAATTTAGCCTAATTGTCATTTATCTTTCGGCTCTGATTCAGAAAATCACGGGGGATTAGAAGTCGGTCACTTCCGGAGAAATTGCTAATTACTGCTTAGTTTACTGGGAAAGTCGGGTAGGTGGATATGACGGGTTTTTGCAGCATTTGTCTATTCTACATGTTCAAACTAAATATAAATACAAAATGTATATTCAATGAAGTATCAATGTCAAAACTAAAAGTTTCTAACGTTAAAAAGATTGTTACATTAGTGTTTTCATTTAAAATGTTAGGATTAATTTTGTTGACCAGTCGTAAAGTGAGTGTACTAGAATCCCGCGGAAAACTGGAACTCATGCGTTTGAATGTATTTACTTTATTTGTTTATTAGAGTACTTTCTTTATTTAATGTGAGACTGTACATAAAATCAGTGATGAATTTATTGTCAATCATTATAATTTATAATCATAAAAGATTATTAATATAAAAGATCTTATCGTTCAAGATATAATCATTTAAGGTTTTTTTTTTAATTATTATTTTTGTTAAAATTCCAAAGTTCATTTTTTCCCAAGGTATTAATTTGCACAAAAAGGACGATGTTTGTTGCTTATACATATCTACCATGTGAAATACTACTTGTAATATCGTTTGTTATGTCATCATTGTTATATGCCATTTTTGTTATATGTCATCATTATAATTGTATGTCATCAATGAATACAGTGCAACTTTGACAGAATGACCCTCCGTTGAACAAGTATCACTTTATAAAAAATGATTGAATTATTTCCAAAATAAGATTTTTTCAGTGCATTACACCTAAATATAGCAACACCTCCAAACAAAAACCAAAATCTTTGTCTCCAAAAGGGTGTTTTGCTGCCCTTCACAGGTTGTACCGAATGCTAGTTTCCATAGAAACAGCAACTCATAAAAACAGAACCAGCTTTGCATTGTGTTTGTCTGTTGTATGCTTTGTTTTTTGATACCTCATTTACTTGTTAAATCTTTTTAATTCTACATTTTGTCATCAAATCATTAAGATATCATGTTGTAAAATTTTGAAATGTTCTATAAACGTTGAATGTAAAGAAAACTACCAATTACCTTAAACAAAATAAAGTTTCTCAAAGTTAATTATGCTTTCTATTTTTGAATAAATATGAAAAAATCACAAAAATATTATATAAATTATTTAACTGAAAATCAATTAAATATATAGTTTAGTATCAATTTCTAACAAAAATGATAATGTCATTACCTCTGGTTGTAAAATCTTTAAGACATATGCTATGAAAATAAAGCAATAGCTCAGATTCTGAACTTCTTTCGTTTTTTTATCCTAAGAAACATGTCATTTGATAGTCCAATAAACTTTAGACCTGATGCGTATTTTATTAAACCGAACACACATTGGCAACTCCGTACAGCAACCTTTGGTACAGCAATAACATATCAAACAACACTCTCACTATCATTTTTGTCCCAAAGAAAGACTTCAGAATGCATTGAACGTCTTTAGAGTGGCACCTCAAAGCAAAAACCGAAATATTTGTCTATCAACGGGTGATTCTTTGCAGAGGTTGAAATATAACAATGGTAATAATAAGAAAAGACTTTGGTTAATCATTATTCAAAATTAATTTGATTGAATTATAAAGGTAAAAACCAAAAAAAAATCAATTACATTTAATGTATTAAGATAACTGACAGGTTAAATCAATCAAGCCGTTTTGTTTTCTCTTTAATATGAAATTTAATAGACACAGGAATTTATAGAAATTTAGGCTGGTAGGCCACCACCCTCAGAAAAATTTATAAACATTTTATGTTCTTTAAGAGTATTCATTATGTTTATGTACTGTGTGAAATACTCCGAGTCAGTTACAATGAAATTAGATATCATTTTGGAGTGGGATAATTTCGAATAATGTACTGTTAAGAGTAGGAAAATCTGGAAACAAGGTGAAGCTGTCATGATTTATTACAAAGTATTTAAATGAAAAACAATTCATTATTGCACTGCAACACAAGAACTGTATATATCTTTCCATTCTTTTACATGCTGATAAACTTGTTTGTTTGTTTGTTTCATTTTACGCCTACATGCTGATAAAAAGGACAATGTAGTAAAAAATGTTTTAACCACAAATTAATGTAACTTTAAAATTCTGAAATTCTGAGCAGAAAAACAAACTTATGACGTCTTTTTGTATATTGACGTCACATCTGACATCATTATAAGTAAAAATATTCACTATGTAAGCCTTATATCGTATAATGATGCACTGTCATGAACTGATAGGGAAAAAAATGTAAAATCGTAAAATGTGCTAGGATTTAGTATAAACTTTTATTTTTAGACATTTTGACCGATAGGCAGCCAACTTCACGCCGCTAGGCTGCCAAGTCCACGTATTTAACATTCATAATTTTGTATTGTTGGAAGAAAAGTATCTTAAGCTAAGGTAAATTAAGTGCTAGCGTTGTTATAGGGACTAAAAGGTTTTACAAATTACTGGCAAAATAACCACAACCACAGACACATTCGAAAATGCTTTTAGCCACGTCTTCCGAGTGACACTTAATTTAGAGGTTTCCTGATTACAGGAATTGTACTACGACGGTTGCCTAATTACACTTTTTATGGAGGCTTATTTGTTTGTCTCGAGATGTAAGATAGAAAACAACCTAGTTAGCCTAATCATGAAATACTTTATTTTTTGGAATTACATTGACCGTAAAAGTGTTGTACCTTTATGTGTAGAAATAGCGGTGTAAATTACAAGCCACTGATTGCGTACATAAAGGATAAATGCTAAAATGCCAAATAAAGGATAGCCTATATTTGTTAAAAAATATCGTGTCGTAGATACATGCTAAATACGAAGAAGTGATGACTAGCTTACTAGACAAAGTGACATTTCTTTGTAATTGCGTGAATCTATTGTAACATATGTATCACAGTACTGTTGTGAAGTAAGTTCTTACAAAATGTATCCATCAAACTATAATCCGCTTTTTGTAACTAACAAATGGATTTCAATGTTTATATATTTCGTTTTTTATCTTTACTGTTTTCATTGAAAAAAATACTTCCAAGATTTGGATTTTCCCCAAGCAAATTTGATTTTGCAAAGCGATTCCAGTATTTTGCCATGGGAAGAATTGTTTACCAATGGCAAATATTCCAAACTCTTTAAAAAAAACTTTGTTGTCCGTAGCTTTTATATTGGGAAATAAGAACTTAATTTATTTAACAAAACTTGCAATGCCATCAATTATTTATCATGACAAATAGTCATGACTGGAAGAAATGTATTTTAGTAAAATGCGTTATATCTGGAATATTCTCATGAAGAATACAAAAAATATAATTTTTTTGAAATTAAAAATTCAAACTGTGTCGTTAGGTTAATAATCGTATTTACAAGATAAATTTTTTAAATTTTGTTCAAGAATATTTGCAAGTCCTAATACTTAATCTTATTAGATTTATTTCGTTAACGAAGTCTGTCCTGCATGATAATTTTGCTCTCTCTAATAAGGTTCGTGGCATTCTTCATTAAATTCAATTTAGCCGCCAAATAAGGTTGTCTGAGTATCAAATCTAAATTATATGATGCGGTTTTGAATGTTAAATTTGAATTCCGCTCAAGCCTATTCAAAGGGTAGGGTTGTAGTTGAAGGGTGGACGTGCTTTAGGGATTTTTTTCTCTCTGTTTTATATTAAACCTTGGAAATAAAATACTCATTCATACACTTAATCTCTCATTTAATTAAAGGTTATATTTAATACAAAACTTTACTAACAAAACAAAAACTAAAAATAATATATACATAACTTTTAAACCATTCTGTCTTTGCAAAAAAGTTGATTGGCAGCATGCGATCCATCGCGCCGTGCAACCCATTTTAAATTGCTGACAATTCCTAAATAATGTTTCAAAAATGTTTTAAGTATAGTTAGGTTGTACCGCCCTATTGGCGTACAGTACAACACGTAAGTTACAAAAATCATCATGATAAGTAACATAAATAGTTAACACCAGTGTATATGTATACTTACAAGCATAGTCATCCGTGCAACTTTGCGTATATTATAATATTCATGTATAATCATAATAAATAATTAGTTACTTCTGACTGACAAATCTTAAAACTCATTTACAATTATAGAAAAATAATGTAGGAAAATCCTTGCTGATGCTTTCAAAACTGTAGCTAAACATTTGTAACACCAGGTAACTTGTATACACTTTAAGGAATTTCATTTATGAAATCTTAATAATTATGTTCTAATTGTGCTGTGTCACCAACAATGCAGACGCTGAAAGGCAAAAACTGTTTGCAAGACCTACTTGAATATTGCGCTACCTCTTTCTGCGCAACATCTCTATATTAAGAACAGGCTAGCGGGAATGTCAGAATGTCAGTGGACTTTTTCTGAACCCTTGTCTTTAAAAAAAGCATGTACGTCATCTCGTTTTAGCACGGAAGGAAGATTTTGTTTAAGCTGACAAGTTTAATGTGCTTATATGGCAGTTCCTAAACGGTTGTTTGAGGGTTAAAGGGTAATAATTTGTTTATATATCATCGGAAATTAAAATGTAATGTGTCAATCAATAGTGTTGGTTTCAATTATTTCAAAAAGGGGCTAAAACCTGTATTATATTTTAAACAAATCAAAACTTCAAACTTTGATTTGATAAATAGTCAGGTCGCGCATTTCTATGTAAAAATATTTACGATGACGTAAAAAGCAGACAGAAAGTAATAATAACTTTTCGGAATTAGATATATTTAGTTTCTTTTAATTGACTTACGTTAATCTATTTGAAGGATAAATCTTAGATTGATATTGTGACGACAAATATATTAATATTATCATTCTTTTCGTTTAAATTTCTTTAGTGTATTTCACAATTATGCATTACGAAGAATTTATTTTTTATCCTCTGTTTATATCAATGAAAACTTTAGATCAGTAAATTCTTATTTCGATTTCCCTTCTCAAATCAGATGATCTTCATCTATTTAATTGTAACAGAATGACGTCAAGCCGCCCTAATAAGGAGAAAGAAATGAAAAAGTTTCAATGCAAAAAAGGTCGTATGACGATATCTTATTTTCAAGTCTAAATGC